GTAAGTATAAGAAAATTATTGTGGATATCACAAAAATTTGTGATTTGCATTTTACCTTATCTAAAACTCATATACAGTACATAACAGTTAAACAACTATAAGAATTAACCAAATAGCTCTCATGAATAATTAATAATAAAATCCAATTAACAAAATGTGTTCTAGCTGATCATGACTAATTAAATAATCAGTCATTAAATAATTTCCACTTAACTGATCGACACATGATCAAATTACTTAACTGAGAAAGAAAAAAATAAACTTTTACACTTGACTAGCTTAAACAGCATTACTGGTAGTTTTTATAGTATTTGAATTTTATTAAAATCAGCCATATAATCAACATCAAAATTTATGTTCCTACAAGTTGGATTAACACTGACTTTCTCAATATAGATCCATTATTAAGAAAACAGAAATTTGAAAAAGGAAGTTAAAGATATATTCATTAATTCTACTTTTTCTAAATATCTGGTGACAGAAAGTGATAAATCTAGTTTTTTGTGCAAATTATAAAATATTTAAAAATTCATGCCTTGCTAGTATGGGGAAATTTTTGTTTTCAGGTTTCAGCTGTTTTAGTAACGAAATTCCATTTGTTTTTTGTGTGAGAACAGATAAATCTAGTTATTATAAATTTTATTGCTTTAAGTTGCTAGATGATGTTAGTTAAGTTCCACTTGGACAAACAATTCTTTCCCTCACTTAACTTAAATAATTTTTTTTTAAATGTTTAACAGACCCATATATAAAGAATATGTATAAAAGTAAATTTTATGACAAATAAACAATGAATGTTTTAAGCCAAAATGTTTATACTTAACAAAACACCAACATCTGCGGCACAAATCTACATAAACACAACGAGGAACTTTGGCCAGAAGTGTAAAAAGGTTAATTTTCTGCATCACTTCAACTTACATTTATAATGCACTTGTCCACAGTGTTGTAAACTTCCCTGTCCTATTCAAGAACATGTATTGATTATCAAATGTCATAGTTCTATAAAAAGCTACTAGTTGTAAATTCTAATCAGAAATAAATAACATAGAACTAACAAATTTAAGTGCCTGCATGAATTTTGTATTTATGAAAAGTATTGAGAAGTATCCCAAGTGTGACTTTCTGCAACAGCTCATTACATCTCAATACATGTATTTATATTATTTACATAAGGCTAGTTCTTTTACAGCATTTTAAATTAACAGGACAGCTTCAAGGTTCTATTATCACAGCTGATTTTACTGAAAACTCAGTAACTCAAAACTCAAAGACAAAGAATAATTTAAAAAGTGTTAAAAATACTGAAAAATTATTTTACAAAAAATAATTATAAATTAATAAATAACCTCGTAACAATGAAAATTGCTGTTTATTTATTAGTTTGCATGAAAATCATATGAAGTCAACCTAGCTGCTTGGTCACCATTTAACCATGTTTACAAAACAACATCCTCCATATATATATAAATATGTATATACTGATGGCCATTGTGTGCATTATTAACTTGTGGCACATATGGGCATGCATGATGCCATTAAACTTGTATCAGTTCTACACACACAGACGATTATTACTTCCTCAGCTAAGAATATATGTACTGTCCATGACAAAAAACATCAATTTGCAATTATATTCCAGAAAGAATTCTCCACAAGGTGAAAGTCTCCATAGTGCAATTGTATGGCAAACTATCTCCAAATGTATAAAATTATGTACATCCTCAAGAATAAATGCAGTGACTAGTAACACACCCTACTGTCTCTCACTTTTATTTTCATATCTATGGTCCTAATGCAAATCAAGGGTTCTAGAAAAAGTGTGTATGTGTCTATATGTTTGTGTATGTGACAGATACTGTTTATTTTCATCATATCTATGTTACTTACTATTCTCACTTATGTTGATTAATAGTTAAATCATCAAATCTAATAAACTGCTCTTGCCTTTTTATTCACAGGCACATCTACTGATACAGCATATATAAGCCCTGCATACCACTGAAAACAGATCTAGTTATTTTGGGAAAAACTATACTATTGCTTCCTTGTTCCTGCACATTGCATTTGGCGCATGTTAAAACTCTGGTTGCTGATAATTGAATCTCAGATAATTTGCTTACCATTTTCTGCAACAATATACACTTTAGATATGACAACAATAGCAACAGCAAAATATTTAAGCAGTTCTGAATTATAATAATAATATATTATTAATACATAGTGGCAGCAGGTGAAATGTTACATATATCAATTCAAATGATTTCTATTGTAATGCTCTTAAGCAAATATTTTATGTTACTTTTTTTTTTTTTTTTTTGTAAAAGAAAACACCAAAAAAGCTCATTGGCAATGCACAACATCATATGAGAAACAAAAAGTAAGAAACTCTACATGAAGTGATTTTAACTTTTACGTGAAACTATAGGAGCCAGATATTTCATCGTAGAAAGCAATGCAAAATTGTGAATTCTTACTGTTGTGTAATAAACAGTGTAAATATGCAAGGTTTATGAGAAACAATCCAGATAAATATCTGTAGATAATTTCTGTCAACTTTTACTTGTTTCCACTATTTCTGACCCCATGTCACTCCCCTTCACAAATCCCATGAAATCTCGCTTGGTCTTATTCAAAGTTGCGATACTTTGGGTTATCTAAGGTGATTCCCATTGCAGGCACCAATATCACAACCAGGAAGTTCTGATATAAAATCCTCCTATTCTGAGCAACTCACGAAATGTTGTAAAAATTATATACTACTACATTTAAATTGCACAGATAATAGGTGAATTTTTCATAAAGTGCATATAAGGCCAAAAGATGCCACAGGTGCTCTAACTCACATTTCAGCCATTAATATTAAGCAATTTTTATTCAGAATTTGACTTAAATGCATTATCATAGAATAGTGTTTGTGTGCAAGTGTGCATGTGTTAAGCATAACTTTTTCTTCATTTGATTTGCAAATTTAGTATCTGTGTCTATTTTATTTCAATTTTAAAAATACTGAAGAGGAGCTGGAACAAGATTTTCAAACTAAAAATTAATTACAGCGGAAAATATCATATCAATACACTCTAAGAACCATTATAATTTCGACCTCAAACAGTCTGTTTCCATATACTTCCTACTTGATTCCCCCTATTGATTGGTTTTGTTATCTTTCAAGTGGTTATATACCGAGCAATGTCCTCATCCTCAACTCTTCACTTTATCAATCCATACTCAATAGCCACCATTTTGAAAAGAAAGCGTATTTCAGTCAATTTTCTAAAAAAGCAAGAGGAAGTATTTCTTTTTCTTAAGGGTGGAGATCACTACTTTGAATTTGTTTTACAAAATTGCCACTAATTTCAAAAAATTTTTCAACAATACAATCTCTAAAAACTTGATTATCTTTCCATTAACATATATGAAAATGCTGAATTATAACAAACCATATGCTGTCCGGAAGAAAAAGATGCTACCAATGGCATATATCATTAGATCCATCATTCAAAACTGGTAGGCTATCTCAAAGTATAGTATTACAGAATTAGATAAAAGAAATCATTCTGCATGCATAAATTTCCTGGGACTGATTAATTTTCACAAGTATAACAAAGAGATCCACAAGAATTCTACTATACATACATGACCTGAACATGGTTTGACAGCCCAGACCGAATTCCACATGTTCAAATACCACAAGGTCTTTTTTTTTTTACAATACATGTGTTTTTACAACTAACAAGATTAGTCATGTTGAAGTTTCCCAAGTATCGGATCAAAATTGCTTCAGTCTTTAGTGATCTACAAATCTACAAACCCTGCCAATTTCAGAACATCAAGATTTAGGCAAATTTAACAATGACTTCACATGAAATAAATAAATCTTGACAGTTTTACAGTGAAAAAAACAACCCTGTTTAGATATTGCAAGATACCAGTACTGTGCAATCTATGTATTTCCTTTTTCCTGCCTTTGTAACAATAGTCAGTAACATGTACATTAACTTATGTTAATGAAATCTTCAGAACTGAGAATGAGAAATGTTGCTTGCGTAACAACAATTGTGAATATCAATGCAAAATGACACTGACAATATTAGCTCTTTCTTTCAGGATTAACTGATAAACTGCATGATAGCTTCAGCATTATCATCTATCTAGCCATATATGTATTGAATGTATGGATTGAATTGAAAAGGTGCACTGTCAGTACCACACACATAATCACTGGATTTTGCTGAAGCGTGTGTGTGTGTGTGTGTGGGGGGGGGGGGGGGGGGGGGGGGGGGAAAAGGAAAATCTTATACCCATTTGTACCTTTTTAAAGGCCCACTGTATGCTGGCACTGCAAATATACACAGTATCTTTGAGTTGCACCCTGGGACAGGAGTGTTCAGTGTCACTATGGGTTCTGGCTGTAGACTGAGCAGGCACATGTGCCCCACGTAGCCATCACTGTTACACACCCNGTGGGGGGGCACAACACTCTTTTTTTAAAATTCACATTGATTAGGAATGACATCTATAGGAATGACATCTATACTGTAGCATATTAACACCATGATCACAGGTGAATTTATGATTGGGAGAGTGTCCACATTCCAACTGCCCCTCCCCCCAAACACACACACACACACACACACACACACACACACACACACACACACACATCTGTGTATTCCCATCATCAGTTTATGGCATGATCCCTATTGGACACAAGTCTTGCACAGGAAGGAGGAGAGAGATGGGCAAAGGGACAGAAAAGTTTTGCCTTGTCTCCCTAGGGATTAACTCCTTTCCCCATTATTGATCTGGCAGTGATCACTACATGTATACTCAGTCATATAATATATCTAACTACAGATCATAATGTGCGATTTTCGTTAAACTTAGTTCACTTCAGTTCACACAACCAAGTTACATATATTTGTGAGTCCAAAAATATACAATAGCATGCGGTACGGATGCTGCAACTGAATTACCAGTAATATAGGCACTGAACTTACCGTTGGTTGAGAAAAAACTTTTTCTGGACTATTCATGACTAAACAAGTCTTCATTGTAAAAGGTAGTTTAATATTTTGCTCAAATTCCCCTGTTACATCGACGCCGTCAGCTAACTGCATCATAATCTCCAGCTGCTTTTCTGGATGTTATGAAGTTTTGCCTTGATCGACTAATGTACGGAAAATACCGTACTCGTATATTTTAGACGAGAGAACGTCCTTACTAATAGTTATGCACGCTTTACGGGGGAAAATTAATAATAGATATGCTATTCAATATGTGACTAAAACCAAGGATGTATAAGTATTTAAAATATCCTGATAGCCTGAAATCATTACGCACCTGTTACCATGATTATTTCCTTGTTTCGTCTCCAGTGCGGCTGACCTCCACACTGTACTCGCAAGCAGGAAGTTGATTTGAAAACGGGGAATTCCCTTTTCTTGGGGCTCTTTAAGGGGTTCCATTTTGCTTGTGTGTGATTATTATCATCGAAATACTGAAACCAATTGGTTCCCTGCACTTGGTCGTTTATACAAATTTCGTGCAATGTCAAATGTATTTTAATTCAGTGATCAAATTGTTGTTTCGACTTCTTGTTGGATTATATTTACATTTATTTTCCTCCAATGCAACATATTTTGGGTTGTGCAAGCAAAGTTTAGATTGAGCACACAAATGCTGACTAAGATATCCACATAATTTGAAATGTAATGAACATCCTTTATGTGACCATTTTGTTTCGTATGCATTGCCATCATTATGCAAAATTTCTGCAAATGTGCCCCTTACAGAGCATAACTTACGTAGCATTGCTACACTGGCATTGCTACAGGTGCGAATGGTAGATAAATTGGGCATTAGTTTTCACATTTCGTGTTAATATCTTATCAAAGGTCACAATTGTAAAAATGCATCATTTTCTTTCTAGATATTTATGATAAGATATAATTATCTTAAAACATATTTATGGCTATCAGATCAAATAATGATAATGTAAAAATATTTTGAATACCTTAGTAACTCTACTTGGTACAACTATTTCCGGTAACAGATACGAGACAGCAAAAATGTCTAAGCATTCTTAGGTGCAGTTTTGAGGTAACTTCAGTGCACACGAAAGCGTAAAGAGACATAGATATATTTCATATATGATATATTAATATATGATACATAAATATTTAAACATCAAGTGTTTTTAAGTTCTGGCACTGAAAATGAAACGTATCATATTCAAGACACCATTAGTTAATTTTACTGGCAGGGTCATTCATTTTGTTTATTAAAATTACATGAAAGAGAAAATCTGACTAAAAGTCATCAACCTTTAAAAATAAGTTTGTTTTGTCTAAGCTGTAAAGGTTTCCCATAACTTAAGACTTATCGTTGTTTTACGTGTTTTTTTAGTTGCTAAGTCTAATAATTTTAAAAATCACACTGTAGAATAGAAGTACAGCACTATGGATGCAGTAATTGAATGGCGCTTTTTAGTCATTTTATTTGTTATTTTTTAAAATTGTCGGTTTTTTAAATATTCCCTCTTAAAGTATTATACTTAAAGCCATGAAATGACTTTGTTGATACGTGATATCTTTTCTCAAAAGTGAAACAATAGAACAGTTGCTCTTTGCACAAGTACTTGTAGTTATACTGTATGTCTATTTCTTGAATTTAAGATTGAACTTTATACTTACCAGAGCCATACAGAATATGGCTGGGCCATAATTCTATAGCCGATGACCAGGTCATTGTTCACTTTCTATGATGACAACCAGTTTGTCAGCTATATAGTTGTCCTGCAATTTGCACTGAGCCTGTACATGATAATTTTCAACAGTAGGTTAACATCATTTAAACATCTAAGAATGGACTTATTTGCTGTTTATTAATGCCTGTTTTCAGGAACAATAGGGAATTAATAATGGATTTGCTTGACAAGTTGAAGAGCACAGTCAGCAGTGCCCTACAAGTTAACATCTTAGCCAAAGACTTTGAACTTGGACCTCATGTAGCCAGTGGTGGACCTGGGTTGTCATGGAAGATATATGATGCAGTGAAGAAAACAACCAAACAGGTGAAAAAACTCGTACTTTTCTATTAGCTCAAGGTATGATATGTGTGTGGATGATTTTATTATTTAAAAAAATTGCTGAAAATGTCTATTTAACATTTTAAGAATGTTGTGCTTTCTTAGATTACCAAAATTTTTCCATCTTCAGGAAGCCTCTGTTTTTATCTTTGAGAAAAAGTCCCTGGAGCGTTATTCAAGAAATGATAAAGAAAAAATCATAGAGGTTTTGAAAAAAGGATCTGCCCAGTTGACAAAGCTGAGACATCCCAAGATTTTATCTGTCATACAGCCTTTAGAAGAATCTAGGTAAATAGCAACAGTTTTTGCCATAAGACTTTTTACGTTAATTGAAATAATGTTGTTTCATAGGATTTAGCAATTGTAATGTGTATTCAAAGATAAGCACCTGAGTAGATAAAATTTGACAGTGCTTTTTCTAAATCAGTTATTTGTTTCTAGGGAAACTTTATGCTTTGCAACCGAGCGGGTTTTTGCAAGTTTGGCTAATTTATTAGGCAACTCTGAGAACCTGCCCACACCACCTCCACCTGCCATCAAGGATCACAAGTTATATGAAGTTGAAATTAAATATGGACTTTTACAGGTTTGAATAATGATTTTATATTTAAGGGACATTTTATATATGTTATGTTTCTGCACCAAAAAGTTGATCTTGTACCTTTTTTGAATGTGCTTCATTGGGTACTCAACAACACCAAAACTTGTTTTGTTCTTTGAGGGGAAGTCACTCTACTACTTAGAAAAGATGTAGCAGGTCACGAGACACGTAATGAGAAACCTTTGTGAAAATGTTTCTTTTGGAAACAATTTGGTTACATTGTGAGTTGTCCTTGCCATTTATTTATTTATTTATTTATTTATTTATTTATTTATTTATTTATTTATTTATTTATTTATTTATTCCCACCTCAGGGGGTGAAAGACAAAAGAATACATACAATAGATTGCACCAGAATATATTATATTTATAATACAATATTATATTTATAATATTATTTCATTGATATTTTAGTGGTCATCTTATTACAACATACCATGTTTCAGATAATAGCTACTGAAATGTAAATAATTTTTTCATTTCCTGAAGCAGACAGAAGGTTTGGCATTTCTCCACAATGATGCCTAGTTCCTGCACAGAAACATAAAAAAAATGTTTTTCTTTATTTTCTGAAGCTGACAGAAGGTTTGGCATTTCTCCACAATGACGCCAAGATCCTACACAGAAACATATGCCCAGATTCCATTTATATCAACAAAGATGGTGTTTGGAAGATAGCAGGATTCGACATGTGTGTGACTAGCTCAAATCCTCAAGATCAGGCAGTATGTCCAAGAATTCAAGATGCACAAAAACAAATTAGATGTTAAGATAAAGCCTTTTTATATCAGCATTTAAACATATTGATTACTATTATTTTTATTGCAAAAACATGTTCATAAAAGGTCACTAAAGCCTTTCACTGAGTCAAATAATTTGAGGTTAATGTGTTATTGATTACTATTATTTTTATTGCAAAAACATGTTTATAAAAGGTCACTAAAGCCTTTCACTGAGTCAAATAATTTCTAATATTTGAGGTTAATGTGTTAGAGAAAATGATTCCAGAAATGTATATTAGTTAGTGTAGATGTAAAATAATATCACATAGATTAAAGCTCATTTGAATGTACAATTTTAGAATATAAAACTTATTGAGATATTAGTTTAAGATGAAAACCATATACATTTATTTTGATGAAAAAAAAAACCAATTGATATTGCACAACCCATTTTATTGTAGGCAATGTTCAACTTTGTGGAGTGGAACCCAGATATTCCCCCTATGATCCAGCCCAGACTGGAGTACCTGGCCCCAGAGTATGGGATTACCATGACATGTGACAGTACCAGTGACATGTACTCAGTGGGCATCCTCATGTATACTCTTTTTAACAAAGGCAGGCCTTTGTTTGAGTGTAGCAGTCAGTGGTCTGTGTATAAAAAGAATATCATTGAGGTATGGCATTTATTACACTTGTAAGTCACTCTGTTTTGATAATTAGTTGTTTCTATCAATTTGTATTAAACAAATTTAATGCTTTTCCCCTTTTCACTTAGGCCCCAAATGCATGACTAAAAGTGAAAATTTTAATTGCAGATACCAGATATTTTTTGTTTTGAAAATACATTAAAATGGACAGAGATTCCGATTGGTTGATCATAGAAAGCTAGTGATTTGAAATGCAGTTATATTTGTGATGTGTTGTTGGATTATGGTGCAGAATGTTCCCATCTGCTTCAGCTTCGAGACCTGAAGATCACAACGCTAGGCTGTGTTCCAGAAGAGGTGCGAGAACATGTGAAGATGTTGCTCAATGTTGAACCAGCCCTGAGACCCGATGCTGATCAGTTAGTGAAGGTGGGTTTTCAATATGTCCCATTGCCTCATTACGTTTGACCTCCATCCTTAATTGATTTGATAGACCAGCATGTTATCTTTTGAGAAAGTTTTAAGAGTCTGTAATTCTAAAAAGAAATGTGCTTTACTTAAATTTATATCTGTATTGATACTGATATTGGCACTGCAACAATCAGTCATCTTTAGTTACTGGAGCATTTGGCCTTTTTTCCATCAGATTCCATTCTTTGAAGATGTAGGCTGCATGACTCTGCAGTATTTAGACAACCTTTTTCAAAGAGACAATCTGCAGAAGTCCCATTTCTTCAAAGGATTACCGAAGATCATTGCCAAAATGCCAAAGGTGAGGAATGTGTAAGGGGTTTAAATAAATATGAATCAGTGCACATTGTATACTTGTCTTGAGGATAATATTTGTGTGTAGGTACCGAAGAGAAATCATACAGTTCAGCAGAGTAAGATACTATATAGTGCATGCATATTAGTAAAAGCATGCCATGAATACATCCTTTTTAGTTTTATGTTTAAATTTTGTATTTTAGCGCGTGTCACTCCAGCGTATCCTTCCTTGTTTATACAAGGAAGTGGTGAACCCTGAAATGGTTCCATTCCTCCTTCCCAGTATTCTCCTGATAGCTGAACAAGCCTCTGACCAGGAATATGTGAAGCACATTCTACCACAGTTGATTCCACTTTTTAAGATCAAAGAACCTATGCAGGTACATGTGTAGTCCATTTGTCCGCATATACAAACACACATGCTCACGCATGGATGCACGCAAGCACACATGCACACATGCATACACACACACTTAGTAAGTCCTACCCAACAGTAATTAATAAACTCAGCTCTTCACTCACTGTAATTTTTGATGTTGTCCAAAATATTTATTTCATCTTGCTGTGAATTTTATACCATACTTATAATAAAATTACAAATTTTAATAATTATGGTTTTAAATATGGATTTTCAGGTCACTTTGTTATTCCTCCAAAACATGAATCTTCTGTTGAGCAAAACCCCATCTGGTGATATTAAGGCTTATGTTTTACCCATGTTGTATGGGGCATTGGAGAATAATTCTCCACAGATACAGGTAAAAAAAAGCTGGCATCTTTCCTGCCATGTTGTGTTGGGTTAATTTAGATTTATTATCCACTGAAAGTAATCTAATTTGAAAAAAAAAAACCCAGACTTTCATGAATCAAATGTAAACAAATTAAACCATTAGATTTTGACTGCTTTTGCATGACATTTTTTAAAAATCACCTAAAATCTGAAGAATTTGTTTATCAGATTTTGTACTAATATTGTTGTTGTTGTTGTTGTAAGGAATCCCATCCTTTATATCCTTTATATCTTTTATAAAACTATTATTCATAAAATTTACAGGAACTGTGCCTCAACATCCTTCCCACATTTGCCAATTTGATTGAATTTAGTTCTCTGAAGAATGCAGTAATGCCAAGAATTAAGAAAACTACCTTATCAACATCTAGTTTATCTGTGAGTATTTTAGAAAAAAAAATTGCATCGGATTATTTTATTTTTATTTTTCATTATCTTATTGGAAATATTTTGCTTTAATGATTGGTTTAAAATTTGACATTCAGTTGAATCTTGTATTATAAATCAAAAAATAATTCGGAACACATATGACATCATAAACAAAATTTGACAAGATAGATGCTTAATTATATATTGTCAGGTGTTCTTTTCTTTCCAAAGGTACGTGTGAGCTGCCTGCTTTGTTTGGGCAAGCTGATGGAATACATGGACAAGTGGACGGTCCTGGATGACCTGTTGCCTATGTTGCCTCAGATCCCTTCCAAAGAACCTGCAGTATTAATGAGCGTTCTTGGTATGTATTGGCATGGTGAGATATTGAATAATTTTTTTGTGTGATTTTGTATTGACTCATTTGAACATCTCTCTCTCTCTTTCTCTCTCTCTCTCTCTCTCTCTCTCTCTCTCTCTCTCTCTCTCTCTCTCTCTGTGTATAAATATTTTGGCTTTTATTTATTTGATAATTTTCAATATCAACCCTAAGGAAACTGTACTGTTTATTTTGATAAGATTTTAATATGGGTAAACTGTCCTCACTTGAAGGTCTAAACAAGTACATGATCAAGATGCAAAATTTAAAAAGATTTTTTATAGGCTTTGATTCTCATTTCTTTATTTTCAGGCATTTATCAGGTTGCTTTGACCCATAAGAAATTGGGTATTACTAAGGAAATATTGTCCCATAAGGTTTTGCCTTTCATCATTCCACTTTCCATGGAAAATAGCCTCAATCTTCATCAGGTAACATTTCATTTTTTTTTTAATTTTAATGTTAATTATAGGTCGACCTTCTATGGTGTTTCCAGATAACCTCAATAAGAATAATATTGCCATTGCGTCACATTTACTACATTTAAACTCTGGTATTGTAGTTCAATGCATACATGGGTGTAATCAAAGAGATGCTGTCCAGCATTGAGATGGAACAGAGGGCAAAACTGGAGCAGTTGAATGCAATGAAAGAAGAACAAAAGTAAGAGAGCACTAGGAAAATATTGCAGTAGATAAGATATTGAAAGTTTAAATCAAACAAATTATTAACAGTATGATTGATGTTATTAAGTATAATAAATTGATATAAGTTAAACATGTACACATGTTAAACAAAATATGTGGAAAGATGTAATGAGCTTTCTGTGCTAATTTATTTTGATTTTATTGTTTTATATCTAGAACCCTTCAGTTCAGTGAAATGGAGCAAAATGGACAAAGTACTGGAAGTGCTGGAGATTTGAAACAGGAATCTATGGTAGTACATCAATAATTCATTAATGATATGTTACTGGATGCATTTTTTAATTTCAAATGGCTCAAACAATTTCAAGTCCATACGACAGTAGGGACATTGTTGTAAAATTGTATTATAAATGAATGTAGCTTAACAATGGTGAGACAGTCTACCTGACTTGTTTGATTGTTTTTTTCACTGTTTTCAGATGGATAAATTTATCACTGGGTTCGGTCTGGGGAGCTTTTTCACTGGTAAAAGTGTTGCAAAGACTGAAGATGTTCCAAGGTCCAATAGTAGTAGTGCACAATATTCATCTCCTCCAGTCTCCCAGGGTACCTCCAGTGCTGCCGCTGTACCTAAACACCAAGCTAAAGTAGGTGTTTATACAGATAATACAAATTGCAGTTTATTTAATGTCCATTGCAAAATTTGGCACGATGAGGATGTCAGGTAATTTTAAAAAATAGACAATTCTTGATGAGTCTGTGACAGCACTTCCATGAGCAGACATGCATAAGTATTAACTTGTGGACATGTAGTACATGTAGTTATAAAACTGCACGTGTGGATATATGTTCATTTGTGATGAGTATTGACTAATAATGTTTGTTGAATGTTTGTTTGTACTGATGAGTAACAAAGAAAACTGATTCACTAACAAAGAAAACATTGATTAACTTACATTTCAGAATACCATCAATTTATTGTAGTATTTAAAAATGGTATGATTTTATTATTTATATTTTAGGTGTCTTTGACAATTGAAGAAAAACAGAGACTTGCTCGGGAACAAGAACAGCAACAGAGATTTAAGTCACAAAAACCCTTGGTGGCTTCAGGATCTGCTGGTAGTGTCTCTCAGTCTAGTGGCAAGGCACAGAGCAAGGACTTGACAGCATCTCTACTGTCTTCAAATTTAAGTGGCTTGCAGCAGGGCAAACCACAGACTTCAGCCTATAGCAGTGCTCCAGGTCAAAATTATGGATTTGGTCAAACTGCTCAAAATACAAATTACAGTGTTAGTAATCAAGGTGTGAACCCAAAATTAAGCAGTTTTGGAATGTCTTCACCTGCTCAATCAAGCAGTTATGGGAATTNCCAAATATGGCTATTTTTAGCTATATTTGGGTACATCCGCTCCTTAATATGGTGAGATATTGATTGATTTTTTTTTGTGCGATTTTGTATTAACACTCTCACTCACTCACTCTCTCTCTCTCTCTCTCTCTCTCTCTCTCTGTGTTTGTGTGTGTACATATTTTGTCTTTTATTTATTTGATAATTTTCAATATCAACACTAAGTAAGCTATACTGTTTATTTTGATAAAATTTTAATATGTGTAAAACTGCCCTCACTTGAAGGTCTAAACAAGTACATGATCAAGATTCAAAATTTAAATAGACCTTTTATAGGTTTTGATTCTCATTTCTTTAATTTCAGGCATTTATCAGGTTGCTTTGACCCATAAGAAATTGGGTATTACTAAGGAAATATTGTCCCATAAGGTTTTGCCTTTCATCATTCCACTTTCCATGGAAAATAGCCTCAATCTTCATCAGGTAACATTTCATTTTCTTTTAATGTTAATTATAGGTCGCCTTTATGATGTTTCCAGATAACCTTAATAAGGATAATATTGCCATTGTATCACGTTTACTACATTTAAACTCTGGTATTGTAGTTCAATGCATACATGGGTGTGATCAAAGAGATGCTGTCCAGCATTGAAATGGAACAGAGGGCAAAACTGGAGCAGTTGAATGCTATGAAAGAAGAACAAAAGTAAGAGAGCACTAGGAAAATTGTGCAATAGATAAGATATTGAAAATTTAAATCAAACATATTATCAGCATTATGGTTGGTGTTGAAAAGTATAATAAATTGCTATCAGCTAAACATGTACACATATTAAACAAGATATATGGAAAGATGTAATGAGTTTCTATGCTAATTTATTTTGATTTTATTGTTTTATATCTAGAACCCTTCAGTTCAGTGAAATGGAGCAAAATGGACAAAGTACTGGAAGTGCTGGAGATTTGAAACAGGAATCTATGGTAATACATAAATAATTCATTAATGATATGAATACAGGGTATGTGGTTACTGGATGCATTTTTTTTACTTCGGGTGACTCAAACAATCTCAAGTCCATCTGACAGTAGGGGCATTGTTGTAAAAATATGTTATAAAAGAATGTAGCCTAACAATGGTGAGATAGTCTCCCTGACTTCTTTGATTGTTTTCAGATGGATAAATTTATCACTGGGTTCGGTCTGGGGAGCTTTTTCACTGGTAAAAGTGTTGCAAAGACTGAAGATGTTCCAAGGTCCAATAGTAGTAGTGCACAATATTCATCTCCTCCAGTCTCCCAGGGTACCTCCAGTGCTGCCGCTGTACCCAAACACCAAGCTAAAGTAGGTGTTGATACAGATAATACATATTGCAGTTTATTTAATGTCCATTGCAAAATTTGGCATGATGAGGATGTCAGGTAATTTTAAAAAATAGACAATTCTTGATGAGTCTGTGACAGCACTTCCATGAGCAGACATGCATAAGTATTAACTTGTGGACATGTAGTACATGTAGTTATAAAACTGCACGTGTGGATATATGTTCATTTGTGATGAGTATTGGCTAATAATGTTTGTTGAATGTTTGTTTGTACTGATGAGTAACAAAGAAAACTGATTCACTAACAAAGAAAACATTGATTAACTAACATTTTCAGAATACCATCAATTTATTGTAGTATTTAAAAATGGTATGATTTTATTATTTATATTTTAGGTGTCTTTGACAATTGAAGAAAAACAGAGACTTGCTCGGGAACAAGAACAGCAACAGAGATTTAAGTCACAAAAACCCTTGGTGGCTTCAGGATCTGCTGGTAGTGTCTCTCAGTCTAGTGGCAAGGCACAGAGCAAGGACTTGACAGCATCTCTACTGTCTTCAAATTTAAGTGGCTTGCAGCAGGGCAAACCACAGACTTCAGCCTATAGCAGTGCTCCAGGTCAAAATTATGGATTTGGTCAAACTGCTCAAAATACAAATTACAGTGTTAGTAATCAAGGTGTGAACCCAAAATTAAGCAGTTTTGGAATGTCTTCACCTGCTCAATCAAGCAGTTATGGGAATTTTTCATCAGTTTCACAGTCAGGAAGTTATGGAATGGGCAGTATGGGGATGGGCACTGCCCAGCCAAAAACTGCTAATATGTCTGCGTTTGATAATATTTTGCCACTGCCAGCCAGTCAGCAAAAGATACCAATGAATCAAATGCAACAGCAGACAGGTGGGACAATGATGGGACAGCAAAACTTGAGTATGCAGCAGGGAATGATGGGAAGAAGTATGCAGCAGGGAATGATGGGACAGCATAATATGCAGCAAGGAATGTTGGGAAATCAGAATTATATGAGCTTCCAAGGCAACCAGACTGGATTTACTCAGACTGGCATGATGGGGAATGTTGGAATGCATCAGCCATCTTCAATGGGTTTCCAACAGCCTCCAAAACAAACAAGTCAGTTATCTAAAACTGATATTGATGACTTGTTGGGATGAATGATTTTAATAATTGTTGCATTTTCTTATAAATTATTATAAGAAATTGAAATCAACTGCTTCGCCTTATGGAAATTATGTGCAATATCCAAGTTTTATCGTTACATTCAAGCAATATATCAGTTTTTTATCACTGAAGAAAGAAGTGAAAAACTAACCAAATCTCTCTAACTGCAGTTTTGCTCAGTGACATTGTTATATATAACCTTTTGGGATAGTGTGATTTGGCATTTTTATCTGAATGTAGCCAGCTTGTAGTTTTTAAAGCATTACTTGTCTGCAACTTGACCAGATGCTTTTTCTGTGATAGAAGAATTGGGGTGAAAAGATTATTGAAATTTGTGCATAATCAAATTAATTTCTTTTGGTTGTAATGGGGTTACTCTTTCAGGTTTTTGTAGCTGGAGGTCAGGTTGATTTAGTTAGAATGTGAATTGCTTCTTTTCACCAGTTGATGAACCCAACGCGTGCATGTCCCAGTGTCTGTTCTTCTTGTCAGTTGCAAATCATGGCGAACATGATGTGCTTCATTCATAAATAGTATTCAGTTATGGGTAGTTCTGAGACAATGGTTTATGTGGGGTAACAGAATCTAACTGTTTAAAAAAATTGTATTAAATTTTTTTTCAAAGCATTCTGCCAGTGTTTGGGTTCTAGCTTAGCCTGATCTACTGCAGGCAATTTCTGGTTTCAAGTTCCATCATTTAAATGCTTTTCAAAACTCTTCAAAATGAAGTTTACACACACACACAAAAAAAATTTATAAATGTGTAAGTGTTCATTTTCTCAGGCTGTAAGATAAAGTTCCAATGCTCAAAGTATACAGCATTCTGCATAAAATATAATAAAAATCAAAGTATAAATATTTTTGCACTTTGCATTAGAATCTTTTATTACAATTTTGTTTGTAATAAAACTGCTGTTATGTAAAATCCATAAGACTTCGTACACAAATGGCAAAGGCATTTGGCATATTTACGACCAACCTTTAATAATCATACATGGGAATACTGCGTATAACTCTTACAGGGCATTGCAATTCTATTTCTTATCTATTAGTGATACATATTTAAAACCATGCATAATATAAAATAAGGACCAGTTTCAGGAGGCTATTGTTTGCTAGCAATTGTCATTGCTGTGTCCTATGCTAAATTTTCATGTGCATATGCGAGCAAATGCCAGTTAAAACAGGCCTCGTGTATATAAGGAGTGATTTGCATTTGTGGTGCATCTGAACCAGAGTACTGTACAGAACTAAAATGTTTTGGTAGCAACTGGCATATAATGTACCTAGTAGAAATTGCTAATTCAACAAATATCAAGTAGTTTTTCCATTTTAAATATAAAAAACATCCCTTGCTTAAGCATAGATCTATAGATTTATATATATGTATACATAACTATTTGGCAAAAATCCTTCATACTTGATAACACAAACCTGTTTCTTTTAAGAATAACAATTGACCTATTAAACATGGGAAGTGAGCTTGCTAAAGTCTATAAATGTATTTGAAAAATCAGCATTGAAAACAATACGCAGCCAAGTTTCATCCTTCAGAAATAAAAAATATTTTCCACACTTATCAAACATCCTGATAGTATGTATTATTCAGGACTCCAGTCCATTTTTTTTAATTGAAGCTAGATATGTCTAATAATGGTAAATAGTCAGCATTACAGCCTGGACAAGAATGTCAACTGTGGAGATTTATCTTTTTAAATACAACTACCATGTTAACAGGATGACTTAAGCATTATCAGCTACACTACCACTATATTATGTCTAGTCCCAGTGTGTACATTAACCCGTCTCAGAAGTCCCAACAAGTCTTGAGTGGTTTGCGGCACTCTGTTCAGGAGTTGGAAGTTGAAACTTATGGTTATAATACTTACCTAGTACTTTTTAACCAAACTGGTTTAAGCAAATAAAAATGAAACAATCTAAATAACTTTCTTGCATTTTTCTTTGAACACATTTGGCACGTTATATATAGTGCATATGCCACATTTATTGAGTTGTGCATCTTTTCAGACTTATTTTAAGGTGTATATATCTGGCACTACATAACAGGTAAGGAGTAAGAAAATCTATAGTTCTAATATCAGAAATTATCTGGTATCTTAGATATCAGAGATTACCTGGCATCTTATGAGTTTTATTTTTCTGAAGAAACTAATTTTTGATAAACTTTCTTTTTACACCCAGAGTATGTGTATCAAACTACAACACAACTTTGACAATTGTTACATAAATGTCTATCTCACCTCTTGCCTCACTTCACTGAACTAATCAAAATGGAGTACATAATTCAGAATGTTAATATAAGAAACTGCTGCACCTGATATCATTATATTCCTGAATATTATGAGAAAATTACAATGAAAAAAGACTTTCATCTCAAAATTCTCTAACACAGGAACATTTATATGGTTGGTATACTCTGTAAAATATATTTTCATGATACAGTTCTGTGATTTTAAGTGAAGTATAAGTAAACATGATATTAAGGTTTAGTGTTCTACCTTGGCTAGTCTAGTATCAACTAATACTCCAAAATCTTGTCAGGCCTTAATATTAATATATCTACCTTTTAAACTTAAAAGGAAAATTGGAACTCTGGACAATGTGCAATTTGTTCTATCCTAAATAATAAAGACCATTATAAGTTTTCATTACTTAATCCAAAAATAATATAAGAAAATTATATATGTGAACACATTATTACAGAAAAAAAAGAAACAATCCTATGCACACAACAATTGCAAGTTAGTAACAAGCAAATTAAGCAAAAGCTATTGTTCCTCGTTTTTTCACACATCAAAACTTATTCATCCTAGGAAATTCAGCTAGGAAATTGAACAATTTTTGATCATACTTAAAAAAATGCACCAGGTATTGCAGTGAAGACACTTCAAGTACAAAGATAAATTTTAATCTTACTATGAAGAGACCACTCTGGACTTTGATAAATCAAATAATGGAAATCTCATTTTCATTTCTTTAATGGCTGATAAAAGACCCAATGCTGCTAGAATATTTTAAGTGCTAAAATTAGTCTAGGCTGCCCATTTTGACCCCAGTTATGCTGCTTAAAAGAACTTCTAAGAAGTAGTAACTATGGCATTTTTCAACATCACATGTTAAACACAAATCTTACTCAGTAAGAGAAAAAAAAACAAAAAGGTACACACCATTTCTACCCTACATTATTATTACTACACTACTTAGTAAATCATGTTTTAGTACAAAGAGTTCACCGCAGCATTTAAACTGATTGTACATCATATGTAAAAATTTAAGATTTCAAATAAAGATGATCATACAGGAAACATTGCTATTAAAGCATCAACAACCATCCTAACCTTTTAACATTCTGTAAAATCTCCCACTTCTTACACCAGAAATTTCATGAAGAGAATAGCACACAGTAAGCTGTGGAAAGCAATAATAGACATTTTATCACACACCTACATAATATATTCCACTATAGAACTTAAGTATACATTATGGCCTCATATTTGAAAAAAGTAATAAAGGTTTGGGGATGGACCACTAAAATTAACAAGTTTGAGCGTATAAACAAAAGTGTCTTTATCTCAAATGATTAATACACCATTACCTCATGCACACAGATATCAACTGAGCATACTGTGTTTTTCCCTGGGCTACTTATTATAAAATTCATGTATATATGTGACATCTTTTGACAGTTAATACAAAGAACTCAAATTATATCATATAGAGATATAACTATGTCTTAAACAAAACGCACAAACAAAATATGGGAGTGCTATATTATAAGTTATATCAAATTTTTAAGCCACACATCACGTTAATAATGGTCTTCTTCGTCATCTTTTCTACTCAAGATTTCTTTTTCCTCTTCATCATCATGATCATCTTCATCATCATCATCTTCATCGTCTTTCTCGTCTGTGTCTGAGGGTATTGGAGTGGAAGAGCGGGAGTGAGACGGAGAGGGGGGTTCTGAGGCAGGTCTGGGCATGAAGATACGACCCTAAAAGAAAATTTTTAAATTAATCAAAAGTCAACGACATTTACTAAGTAGTGTAGGGCATTATGGCTAGTTCTAGGCATAAAGCCAAGCAACTTAAAGAAATAAAATGTAATTTAACAAGGAATCCTTATAAATAATTTTACCAAATCTTACGGGTACAATTATGACACTCTTTGCTCATTTCAAAACTGTGTTATTACAAAATTATTGCACCTTCAGCATCTTATGAAAAAAATTGTAATACGAAACACTTAAGTCATTCTCTTCAAGCAATACTTACAGTATTTGGATCTTCTTGGAACAATTCAGGATGAAGTTTTTGCAAAGCCATATTTCTTGCTTTTCTATAATACTAAAAAAGAAATCAAACAAGTTACAAAGCATACACATAAAGTTGAGTTTGTTCATTGCTAAAATATAAGAACAAAATTGAAAAAATGTCAAGGTTCAAAATTTAAAAAACTGCCTGCTTGTGTGCGTCTGTCTTTGATGCTTACAATTCCTAGATTCTTCCAATCCAGAAGATCACTCAGTCTCTCAGTTCTGTTTCTCTGGATGATACGCTGCCTTCGTGACAGACGACAAAAGTCAAACATGTATTGAGCTAGTTGTTGGATGGATTCCTCTGCAGTTTTCATTCTCCTGTCTATAATATAGACTCCATAGGACATTGGATCAGCAATGTGTTCTGCCATAAAGCAACCAAACCCGGACAGGTTGGTGGTAACACTTGGGATTCCCATCACGGTACATTCAGCTAAAAAGCAAGTACAAAACATACAGGCCAAATGTATGATGACATGTTCATGATAGTTCTGCATGTTATATATTAATATGCGATGTAAAACATCACATATGTGCTCACCAAAATCAAGTGATAATCAAGAACAGAATAAACAATATACAAATAATTATCAAAATATTTTCTAGAGAGGTGAGGAAAAAAATAAATTAAATAATACTTTGAAAATGTAAAAATATTAGCTTAATTTCAACAGATAATCTGAGTAATGAGAGTAATACACTTGAGCTATCAAAGAGACATCCTTTATCAATTAAGGAAACTTCACCTGGTGTGTACCCCCAGGGCTCATAATAAGAGGGGAAAACTCCTAGATGACAGCCACGCACAAATTCTTCATAGTCCATTCCCAATAAAGGGCTAGTAGAGCTAAGAAACTCTGGATGAAATATAACCTACATGAAAAAGAAAGTTGGATGCAATTATCATTTGATCTCCTTTAAAAGTAGTTATTGGTTTTTCCTCAAAGAGCACTTCGATGTACCAACAATGTTTTTTTTATTTAAATTTTTGATGAAAATAAACAAGTCATTGTGGAACTTGTAAAAATTGAATCATGGTAAAATAACTTCAAACTGTTTGTGTAGGCTCTGCAATATTTTTGTATAATCTATTAGAAAATATTTTCATCTCACAATGACAAAAAAATTATCCCCCCAAAATTTTTAATAAAATATTAAGATTAAATGCATCTTGGTTTTCTCAATATTTCACAATTTCAATTCCACATATCATCGAGAAATAAATCTATGCATGAAATGACATAACATATTACAGATTACCTTAACTCTGTCTTGACCCCTGTTAAAGAGTTGGCACCTCCTTATTGCACAAAGTACAGGATCAATCCCATCATCCACTACATTGTGAGTGCTCACTGGGGGAAGACTGTGTCTCTGTTACAGAATGACAGTACAAATTTGTTAATTGTATATTAAGAATGAGATTGTGTTTTAACTTAAAGACCTAGAAGCCATCTTTAATAACTACAATATGTTGATACGAGCAAATTTTTCAATTTAAAAACAACAAAAACTTCACAGTAAACCATTTTTAACCAAAAAGTCTCAGAGCTACACTTATATATTGTTTAATAAAACTGTGTAGAACATGATTAAAGGTTCAGTTGTTTATTTTACTATCTGGTGCAATCACCTGAGAAGCAAATATACATCTCTTCAACTGCACAATGTCTTCTTGCTGTAACACATCCTCCCCTGAGGGAATCTTACCTCTAAAAAAAAAAAAAAAAAAAAAAAAAAGATCAACCAAAACATTTTATCTGACACGGTTTAAAAAGGCCTCACAAAAAGGAACATTATTAAAGAGTTTTAAGAGATCTGAAAATATCTATAGGTATACCTCCATTGATGCATCAATTTATAAAATAATGACCATCAACATAAAAGAGATTTATTATAAAATAATCATGAAGAACAAAACCACACATTATTAACATCTTACTGTAAACAAGTTTCAAATATCCTCTTTCCTATATTGGCTTGTACATTATGCACAGTGTCTCTGAGTTGTTTGGCAATGGCCTGGCCTCGCAGGGATTCCACATTGAAGTTGTTGGTCCTGGTAGGGAAGATCAGGAAGGCTATCACTGTCACATCACTTCCAGCTTGCTGAAGATTTGAAGAAATAAACTGTACAGCAAGGACAGCATACAGATTTTAAACAAATTGCAAATTCAAAATAACTTATTCAATCTAGCAATGAGTTTTAAAATTCCTTTTCTATTTAATTTCCAAACTTTTATTCTTTTAAACAGCAACTATCCCATCCCAAAAAATAACTTAATCTCTTACCTGTAAGTAATAATTTAACCTTGCCATTGACTCAATAAACATATCAGCACCCTTGTTTGAAAACTCATAGCGGCCAGCAATGAAGAAGTAAAGTGTCTTATCTAATTGAAAGTCATAGTGGCTAAAAAACAATAATAAATCATTTATGCTATTAACTACGTAAAAAACTGCAAAACAATTCTGATAATTGTTTTTCTTCATTTTTTTCTAAAATTACCTTGTATCAAAGTTTTAATTCTATGACCTAAGGCTATTGTTGGTATTTTCAAATTGCAGCACTACAAGATAGGAATATATAAACCGTGCCTTCATTTAATTCTTTACTGAAAAATACAATTTTCCAAGCACTATAACTAAGAAAGCAAACAAATGAAAAGTTGCCTAGAAAAAAAAAGAACAGTGGTACATACCCATGAAAATGTCCTCTTACAAAATCATGGATCTTTTCCTTGGCTTTAGCATGTAGGTTTTGAAACTCATGCAAGGCACTGAACTTGTATACATTGAGTCCATTTGGGGTGATTACATCTAAAATTTAAGCAAAGAAAAAAATTAATTTCTCTTTTACAAGAGTATAGCATAGACAAAAAACTTAAACCTGTACTTGTCTCTTCTGTCCAGTGAATCTGCAGTGTTTTAACATCTTCAAAACTGATGACTTAGCACTTTTCCTTTACCCAATTTCTATTGTTTAACTTTTATCAACAACTCTTAAGATTTAATAGACTGATCTAAAGGTTTTTTTAAACTGAGCTGCAATGCAAACACTTTTTTTATAACAGGACACTCATAAGCCATCAAAATCCATACAAATGAGCACTGAAACAGTTGGGTGCTAAATTAACTTGTCCTACCTGGTTCTCTCTTGAGTAGGTAGTTGGCTTCAAGTCCTGTCACCTGTGATACTGTAGTAAACACATGAGCACAGTGAACTGCAGACCTTTCCATGCAGTATCGATGATATATGCCACGATCACCTGCTTCTTTATCCAAATCAAACTTGAAAGAAGATTTTTCATTGATAAGAGTCTAGCTTCCCATATAAACTCAGTAGCCCAGCCTACTCATGTTCACAAATTTTATTATATTGTATTCAACTTTTAATTAAAAGAATCATAAAAAGTTGCAAATGCAGCATTAAAAAAAATCAACACATCATGACTCTGAGTTTCATTAATTTTACTATCCTGATACAATGCCCCATACAGCATACCTTGTCCAAAGAGTTATAAAAATCAGTGGATCCTGCACACAAGTATCTTCCCAGCAGAGTTGCATGTGTGGTGAACACAGTGGCCACATCTAAGTGTCGTGTCCTGGTCATCACCAGACCCATTCCTGCTAGCCACTCGTGAAAGTGAGCAATGATAAGAGGAGGTGGGTCAACACCTTCTATGTTCTTGCGAAACTGAAAAAGAAAATAGTTGAAGAGCTCATTATAGCTATCAGTGCAAGATCGCAGCCAAAATTTTTTTGTTATCAACCAACTGCATATAAATTCAACTAATTTCAGACTATCAAAAAAAAAAAATGATTACTTAGGAAGATTTGTCTGACTTGACCAATAGGCATTATGTATGAAACTGTTAACTGATTATCTTCTCCTAACCTTTTGAAAAAAAAATTAAAAACCTCAAGCATTTCTTACCTCTCCAAGAAACCAAGCCACCAGTGCCCCTAAGATGACAGCATCATTTGCTTCCCGGTCATGCCAAGGAATACCTATGTGGCAGGATTCCCAGATTTCACGTTTCCATTCATCTAATTTCCATGCTGCTGATCCAATGTCAAAGAGTACAACCTTTGGGTAACCTTCAATCAACCAGCGGCCAAATATTACCTGTAAGACCATAATAACAGTTTTGTTATTTTCAAATATTGCTTACACAAACCAAGTGTGCTCAATTAAGGAATAATTAAACAGAGAAAAAAGTGCACATTTTTGTTCCCTCCCTTTCTCCCAAAGTATTTAAAATAGATATAAAACATATTTTTATGTGCATACAAAAACAAATAAGCACACACACACACACACACACACACACACACACACACACACACACACACACACACACACACTTGAAAATCCGTGTATGGATCACACATCTTACCTTGATTCCCTTATCGCGCATTTGGTAAATGGTATCCTTGAGAGGAGCAAATGACGGCTCAATGATTTCAACTTCTGTCCTGACACAGGATTCATTGTATGGTCCAAGTAAACAGTACTGCTCTCCTAGTTCATCCACACTGATCCCTGCTTTGGTCTTAATTACTGTGTAGATACCACCAACTGGAAATTCAAAGATGCAGATGTTTGGTAATAAGAGTGTTATGATATGATGATTTTGCAATCAAACAACATTCAGAACAGAGATGCAGCTCAGAGCTCCTTAATCACAATGGATAACATGGGAATTTTGGCAAAAATAGACAAATCAAGAATAAGATAAAAAGATTGACATGTCATTAATCACATTTTATTACAAAGCAAAATGTAAACACCATTTGATAATTTATTATTTTGATTAAAATAATACTTAATTATGAATTATACATAAAAATGTAATTTGAAGGGGATTGAGTTCCAAGACTTTGAAAATTTATTTTCCTTGAAGGTTTTAACTACCTTACATAGGGTATTGCACTTTTGAGAAGACTTGACTTTCTGTGTCAGTGTATGTGACCTCAGTGTGACCTTCATTACAAATGTTTGTGCATGTTAAGTAAACTTTTATTCATAAAACACTGATAGCCATCTTATCAGATAAGAAAATGTAACAGTTATCGATACACTGTAACATTTGCAATAGTACACAACCCATGTATAGCTTTCCTCGTATAGTATCTAAATTGTACGCGTCTTTCCGCTCTGTGCAGCCTGCACGACAAGAATCACCTTTTGGGGTTTCCCATCCTCACCTTTGTTTGCAACTTCCCATGCACACTCGAAAACGAACTTGTTTTGAGATTCTGCACGGTCACCCCTATCTAGCACATAGTCATCAAATTCTGGCTCAACACTTCGCAACGACCGGGCAAAGCTTCCAGACCTGACTCGTCTCATCTTCAGTGGCTCGTCCTTGCTGTCCTTGACCTTTAGTGCCTGTAGATGGCAGCACGATACGCAAGTTGCGACCAGCCCCAGCACCTTACTTAACTCATCAAGTTTCGGCGAATTTTTTTGGAAAAAAAATTGCTTATTTACGAGTAATCATAAAAGCTACCGACGAGGCATGCAAACATTCAAATAGTTGCGTTTTTTCCTTTCTTACATATAACTTATATGGTACGCTCGATGGCCCGTGACGCACGCCAAGTTGCGCAAAATGTGGTTCCAATGTGTTCGGACTGTGGGTGAAAATCTGCATCGTGTTGTCAACAAAATACCGCAAACGTCATAGAAACGTCAGCAACAAATCCCTTTATGATGGATTTGTTTGAGCCTTAGCCGCATTTGGAAAAAAAAACCGGGCCGATACACCAGACCCTTTATATCCTATTATTGAGCAAAATCGTTTAGATTTTCTACTATCTTAACTTATGATTTGTCTGGAAGTCTAATCTTGATACAAAATAAAATGGTATGAATATGCGATAATGATAAGATCTAATAAATAATTCAAGATATCTAAAGGTGTGGTTTCTTGAACAGGCAAGTCTGTGTGTGAAGGCTACGTGTGTGTAGNCAGCAAGCTCAGACTCCCATAAGCAGTGTACATACGACTGGAAATACGCTAAACGCTCTCTGCTAGTATTGGTATTGCAAATTTTATCTTAATCAATCAAATGGGGATTTGCTATCTTATTCTAGTGATTAGATGTGCTATTCCCTTGATATGGTTTCAGAAAATCATTTCCTCTCACAGAAAGTTAATTTCTTCAGTCTTTTGCTGAATTATCTTTACTGAAACCAAAATTTTGTTTCTTGAAAGTGGTAATAACTTCAGGGTTATAGGTTAGTAATCCGCTATTACAGTAAAGATAGCAATCGATATATTTAAGACAATGTGATAATCTTGACTGACCTCCATAATGGCAATGACTGGGTCAACCTGCGCACTGTGCCGTCTGTTGGCTAAGGTAAGAAAAAGCTTTTCAGTTTATACGCACTCTCGCACGCGCGCGCGCACGCACACACACGCACACACACACCACTTACAGCTGGTATTTGACCACATATTCTTGACACCATCAAATGAGTTCTGATTCAAGATTAAAATAGATATAATATATAAAAATAGATAGGGGAGAGCGGGGTGGGTTGGAACGCGGGTAAGTTGGAACATTGGCTTTATTTCTTAAATCACAAGACGGATCATGTGCTCCTTCAGCATAAAAATGTCACGTGGCATGGTCATTCATCCGGTAAACTTGTGGAAGTATCGAAAATGCAGTAAAAGTTTTATGCGAAAAAAACTTATTTTCGCTACTCGAAGTAAGTTTTCATATTTTTGACATTCATCGTGCTGTAAACTTAAGTATAAGGATTATATCACTGAAATTGTGCATAGCGTTTAGGACCACCTTGATGTTCAAAAGGCTGTTGTTTTTTTTTAATCACTTCCCACGTGTTAAAGAAATACAGTGTCATAAGTAGGCCATGACGTCATGGGGGCTGGTCGGAACATTTGACATGGGGCCAGTTGGAACACTGTCAGGGGTGTTCCAACCCACCCCGCACGGTGTTTTTCATTTTTTAAACCTCTCTAAATGTTTTAATTAGCTGTTTGGTCGAAAGGGGTCTGCATGCCCACTGTTGCTTTTTGCGATAAATTGCTTTTAGATGTGGAAGGAAATGTTGATTATTACTCTGTTTTCGCGGCAAAATGAAAATATTGTAGCTGAGAGCCTATGTTATGGATAAACTATACAACACCAATTCTGCCGATGTGGTTTTAAATGCTTTGTGTAATGGATTGGGGGTTGCTGTTAATGTTTAGTGAACGAGAGTACAAAATCCGCCAGAAAAGACAAACATTCACCTCGTAACTTAGACAAAGATTCAGTTGAAATCTCAGTTGCCCTCACCGGAAGAGGTGCTACAGCAAACTAAAGCTCACTTAAGGAAAACCCCAAACAGCTCAAGTCCAGCAATAATTAGACCGGTTCCAAAGGCTCACCGTCGCATTCCAAAGATTAAAAGAAGAAAACGATGCAGTCAGTGCAGTACTAACTGGCACACCTGAAAATGAGCTACTCGAAAAAGGAAAGGCCAAGCGCAACAAAATTAAAAAGGACAAGCGCAACAAAAAAACAGTTAAAGATTGCTAGTCGATAGAGAAAATCAAGAAAAGGGAAATTAAAGATGACCAGCGATTCTGAGTCAGAAGAAGAGTGGCCATGTCTGGTTTGTGGGGAGCCGTTCATTAACAGCCGACCAAAAGAGAAATGGGTTAAATGCATTGTTTTTCTAAAGTGGTCACATGGAGACTGTACAAAGGTTGACCAAGTGTAGGGCCTACATATGTCAGAACTGCGATTTTGATTCTGAGTTGTTGAGTTGAAAGAGATACAGTTTTCATTTGTAGGTCTAACATACTGTTGTTAATAGGTTGAGTTATATGAGTTCAATATCTTTTCTCTTAAACCACTTTTGTTATCATTATGAAATGAAGTGTAACTGGATATGGTTTATACATCGAAAAGACTATTTGAAAGCAAATTGTAAACGTAAAAAATGCTTACAAACTATGGAGATACGAATACAAAGTAACACGTACTTGTTGGGAAATTAATATAGATAAACCTACTTTTAAAATGAATTATACTTTGAATTTATATGCAAGCGTTCCAACTCGCCCTCTTGTTCCAACTCACCCCACTGCCTGTTCCAACTGACCCCGCGGGTGGGGTGAGATGGAACGTTTTAGGAGCCAACTTTGAGCATTTATTACTCTAAAATAAAAAGACCTACTTGATGTTTTATTTCATAGATAAGTGCGGCATATAATTTTCCCCTATCAGATTTTTTATTTTTGTCCCCAAAGCTTTGACTGCTGAGATATCGCAAAAAAGGTGAAAACTGTTCCAACCAACCCCGCTCTCCCCTATGTGTGTGTGTGTGCGTGTGTGAGCGTGAGTGCGGTATATATCTGAATTGCAGGCAGCTATATAGCCTACGCCTATAGCAGTGGCGGATTTGGGGGGGTGTCAGCGGGGGGATGACCCCCCCCCCCCCCCCCTTTCGATTTCTGACAAAGTTCACATCAGTGGTCCCCTCTTGAAATTAGAATTTTGACTAGCTGCATAGTATAGGCCTAGTTCTAAACCGTACCAAATGGCACGTGCCATTCGCCCTCTAAAATACCAAAATATTTCCCTTCACCGGACCCCGAAACCTACGCTAAGGGTGGGGATTGGGGGGGGGGTCTGCTTAGTATCTGCGTACCCCCTTAAAATAATCCCGGATCCGCCCAGGCCCAGTAGGTAATCGAACTGATAATGTGGATTTTATATCTAATTGTATTTGGTGGGTTAGGCCTAATTCTACATTGGTCGGTGAACCAATGAAAATATGATATGAAATAATGCGACATTATCAGAGAAATAGGTGAAAACAATATTTATTATAAAATGACAAAACAGAGAAATTGGCATTATAACATCATAATTAAATGCAAAGAACAAAATTGAGTGCATGGGCTTATATAGGCCTATAGGCCTGCATGCAAAATGTCGTTTCTCTTGATTACTAGACCAAACTATCCCCTCTCCTTCCCCGGTGCATGCATTCTTTCAGTTACTTTTCAAAGTAATATTCTCACACCTTCATTATCTTGAGTCCAAGGTTCTTTATACATGTGCTTTCTTTGCAGATCAACTGTGGAAAGTTCAAATATGTTCAATTTTTCATGATATCCAAACAGACTGTCACTATTGCCACTTTCCAAGAATGTTGCAACAATTCGGTATACAACTCTTTTGTGTCTAAAAAATTGATGCTGTAGAAATAATTTTGCAGAATCAGATGGGCAATAAATTCCAAGAAATTTGATCAATAACATTCCTTTTCCTCTATTTCCTGAAACAAAGAGATGTAAAAAATACACGTCTTTCTTTAAAGCACGAATTCTTCTTTGGGATAATCTATTTCGCAATCGCATTCGACGGACAAGTGATAGGTTACTGATGGTAAAAAAAAGGAATTTTGGAGAGTCAGAATAATCGTTAACTACAAGAAAAATGAACCGTTGATAAATATCATATTGAAATTTTTGGATATTTCCTGAAAAGAAAAGGGTTTAAGATATCTTCATTTAAGCGGGGCTTCTTTCTTTTGGGAATATCTCATTTCGTAATCTCATTCAACTGATAATCCCTGTCGTCATTATTTCCTTTACTCATCACCAGGTGCGCTAACATCGATATTTATAGGTCTTTGCTGCAGCGAATATACATTTGTATACACTGCATGTATGTATGCTAAAAGCGAGAAACCACTTTCAGATTAAAAAGAACACATTTCACCAGGTAAGTAGTTGCCTTTCTGGAAATCGCACTAAGATGTGTATTGAATTCTTAAATATATTTTTCACCTATCAGAGCACCAGCAATTTTTAGTATACACGAAGCGCGTTGGTCATACAAAAACTTATATATTTTGAAGGGAGGCAATAAGTTACTACTTTACATACCTAAGATCTTATGTAAATTAAGAGCAGAAGGTTCCGTTGTTAAACTGTGCATTACTATGATATGATATCGAGCAATGAAATAATCATGGTGAATACTAGATAAAGATTGCCTATATAAAGATTATGGCCCATCTAATATGCTGATAACGTTTAAATTTTTGACATTGATTATATTTAGTCGATATTTTCAGGAATACCAGTCGATTATTTATTACCACTACAGTCGTAAATTGTTAACTAAGATAACCCAAATACTGATGTCACAGCTGCTTAACATTCATCGGAGACTAAATAATATGATCTTTTCAATATAACAAGAGTTTCCGTTAGATATCTTGGTTCACATATGAAAAGACTGGCTCTGAAATAAAACGACAACGCTTTCACATGAGGCATAAGGTTTTTCTGTTAACTGGTGGGTTGTTTATATTTTATTTACCTTTTGAGAAGAATTACTTTTTTTCATTTATTTATTTATTTATTTATTTTGCTTGACGTCAGTGTCGGAATAAGGCCGGACGAAGCCGAATAAGGTTGGACGACGTGGTTCTAAGGTCAAATCCAAGGTATTTAGTGTGTACGCTGATGGTACAACGAACCTTTTAACAAGAAGAGATTCAAGTCAAAGAGAATTAGACACTTGCACTTACATTTAAGCCGTTTAGTTCTTGTGTTTGTTAGTGATCGGTGAGTAGCTTTTAATATTTTAATCTTTTAAATATTTGACATATATTTTACAGATGCACTTTGCCTGATTGAAATGAAATTTGAAAAAGAACACTTTGCTAGAAAGATACAGTTTAGGTAATGAATTTATGACCAGACGAAAAAAACAGGAACAGATAAAATGATAAGTACAGGAGATAGCTTAGTAGACCTATACATTCAATTGTAGGCATCTTTTAAAAAATCTAGCTATTTATACCAAAGTCGTGTGTCGTTTAATGCATTCAAAAAAGAGCAGCCTACTCGTACATGTACATTTTTTATGAATCATTCCGTAGCAAGACAGGAATATGCACCGTAGTGGGTGTCAAGTAGCTGTTAGGAGACTTACTTATGTCACTCTAATGTATCATTATTGAACAGATACTTGAATTCCAATTATTCAGTGTTTCTTAAGGTTAGTATTACACGCAGTTCTCGCTGTATGACAATGAATATTGGCAAACCCCCACAATTTATGGAACAGTGAAACTTAATTTTGCTGCTTTTTCTTCTGTAAAACGCTGGAAAGCTGATTAAACATTTTTTGAGGAGTGCTTAAATTTTTATCTACTAGTGCCGGACTTAGCTTGTTTGACAGTAGCTGTATTTCATTACTTATCTTAGATCTCTGAATGACCTATGACTTCGCCAGCATGGCATAGACATAAACTGTGCTCGCTCCTACCCTCTACCAGGATCACAGATTGGTTTTTCACTAGATACTCACAAATATGTCTCTGGGCAATTCATGCCACATTTCTTGGAAAGAAGTGCACATTATTAATCTGCAGCTTTGGTAGAGGGTAGCTCGCTCCCCGAGGTGGCAGATATTATAGGCAAATTTTCCACATTTGCCACCCTGTAACTTTTGGCCAGATGGAAGCAATTAAATCTGCACGGGCGCAGACGACATTATACTACTACAGGAGATTCCTCAGTTAACTTCAATCTGAAGTAACAAGCTATTCAGAAAGGGATATTTTTATCTGTCACAAAAGAGCAAGTGATTAAAATCAGAGCAATTAACTATCACCCCATTTCCATAGATTTTTAGATCGATCTATCCCTGTGGGGAGTCTCACTAGATTACTGTCAGCTTGGCCGGCTTAAGCGTCTGTCCCGCCTACTAAAAGCTGTAAGGGGGTAATTAACTATGGTGTCCGCTCGGCTGACTGCAATTTAGCCTGAACCCCCAGGGAGTTAGGTCGATCTAAAACTTAATCTTTAGATCGATCTAAATCTCTGGGAAAGCACCCTATCTTGATTGTTGTCAGGGGGATTTGGCAGTACATAGTTAAGTGGCAATTCCTGAGTAGTTTGGCAAACAATTTTCAGTCATGTAATCAACCTACAGATTTCAGAACAGGGTCACAGTTAGAAGATTGACCAAATTTAGGAAGACATTATCTGTGAATATCTAGTGAAAAATCAATCAGTGGATCTGGTAGAGGGTATCGAGGCGGTACGTTAACAAGTTGGGTTCCATAGTCTTTTGGACACTCTCATCTTTTTAGTTTTCATCTTTTAGGTCCTCTTTGTTAACCAACAAGACTTAGATATGAAGTCCATTTGCAAGGCATTTCTCCATACAAGTAATCTTGACAGACGTGTGTTGGTGGCAGAGAAGAGATTTCTGTGGTAGTCTAACACCCCATTCTCATAGATTAGATCGACCTAGATTGGATCGACCTAACTCCCTGGGGGTTCACGCTAAATAGCTGTCAGCCGGGCGGACACGAAAGTTAATTACCCCTTATAGCTTGTAGTAGGCGGGGACGGACACTTAAGGCGGATTATCTGACAGTACTCTAGTGAGACTCCCCGCGGTGATAGATCGATCTAAAAGTTGTGAGAACAGAGCCTAAAAAACTTAGTACGATTGAACAAAACATCATGTTTGAGTGCTGACTTCATTTATGTGCGTTGCATCGAAATCACCTGTTATCTGTTAGAGAACTCAATTTCGGCTGTCAGTTAAGTGTGCCATCCCCTTTGACATGGATCTTTCTTCGTCAAAGGTTCATTATCCATTCGTTTTGCTTTCTTCAGAACATTTGAAGATATACAGTTTTGCGCAGATAAAGAGACCCCTTTTGAAAAATACTCGCATTTTTAACTCTTGTTTAAGAAGGGTGTTTAGAACTGGTAGAACAATCTCGAATTTACTGAATTACTTCACCTTTCTATTTGTGTTCACTTGTGTTGTTCTGTTGTCTTGGTAGGGCTGTTCTTTTCTTTGTTTCGATGACTGTAGAAATTTTTTTATATTGCAATCTAAAGTTGAGTCGATAATGTAAAATAATGGTTTGCCATACATTACTGGACAGATAACAGCCGGTTTGCAATGGCAGTGCGTGAAGAAAAATCATGAAGCTTGAATTTCCTTGCGTCATTACCCATTAAAAACTACTCACTTGACTTGCACGAATGTCAGGCAAATTGACATTTTTTTAATTTTTGAAAGTCCATTGGTTTTCATTTGGATATGAAATTTAGAACCTAGATTTTCATTAAGGGATTCGTAGACTAGACAGTAGGTAAGGTCTTTCACACCGGTGTATTATAGTACATTAATATACCAACCAGCAGGACACGAGTTAAAAATCATAGGAAACGCCCTAACCTATACCTATAATAACACATGATAAAAGAGGTAAGAGTATATTATGTGGTTTTTAAGGTATTATAAACGCTTGTAGGGCCTACTTAGGAGAAAGCGTTTCTCTCAGTATTCAAACCTGGCACGTAGGGTGCAACTGTTTTTTCATTTGTAGAAATGACGAGGTATCTATTGGCGTGCTCTAGTGTGAACAGGTATTCATATGCGCCTGTAAAATTTTCAAGAACCAAATTCAGTAAATTAGTATGTATGTTAGATTTAGACTAAGTGTACTTTCATTATTAGCCCTATATATTGCCTGCAATTTTGTTTTTACGACAAATGAGCCAAGAAAAAGCGAGTTTCTAGTGAAGCCGAGGGCCATTACACGAAATTGCATATACTTCTGCTTGATGAATAGTGGCAGTTTTACGCAGGAAACAGCTTACATCTGTTTTGTGATTTTTTCCATTCAACTTTTTCCGTCTTACAGTATCACGTAAGCACATCAAAGCTCCATCCCTCTCGGCTAATTATTTCTCAATCACTGGCAGTCTGAGATAAAGAAGATCTGAAATTCCAAGCGTTATCAATCAAAATTCACTTTTATTCCCGTATAGACCAATTGAGAGCAGTCGATACGATTTTGCCAGTTTGTTAAAAATCTAAATGCAAAAAGCAGGACTTTTTAAAGTATGAAATGCATATGTTTTATTTTTATCGAAATCCGAGAGAGAATTAAGTTGAACAGATTCTTTTCATATCGTGTGGTACACTTTTGTTTCGCACCATTTGGAGAAATTGACAAGTTTTAAAATAGCCTGGGCCCAGTTTCATCAACCCTGGATAACACTATCCTATGGATAACACTATCTATTGGATAAAATTATTATCCTCTGGTCAGTTATCCTGCTGATAAAATAATGTTTCCGAAATGCTAAATCCTTACTTTTTTATGTTGATATCCATCGGTTAAAACTGGATGCTGTCCTCTGGGAATCTGCCCAAAGGATGACAATTTTATACAGTGGATAGTGTTATCTACAGGTTCGTGCTATGCAGTGTTGATAAAACTAGGCCCTGGTAATAGAGTCAGCTAAACGGAGGCCACGAGCTCAATGTGGACAGTTAAATTTAATTTTAATTGGTCCAAATTGTTGAAAGCAAATTTGTGAAAGTGAGTAACCTCCCAACTCCGCGTTGACATATTTAAATTGGAGCGACACAGAAAAGTATAAGGCACCATGTGAAAAGGGTCTTAATATTGGTTTGTCAGTTGGGCCTAAAACGCAGCACGAGCGCGTTTACAGACTCGTTTAATCGATCAAAAGCGTTCTCAACTCATTTGGAAACTCGGTGTGCATTTAAAGTACACTGTATTTTTCTTTTTCTTCTTTTTCCTTTTCTTCGTCTCATCCACTTCAAGCCGTAGGAAGCGAGTCATTGGGGCGAAATGCTCATTCGCACTTCCAATACTTTTGATATCAAAACAAACAACTCAAGCATTTCTGTTGGTGGAAACTGGTGGGAAGATACTAGAAGTGGATGAGGTACATAAGTATCTCAGAGCGATATTTAATCACAGCGGATACTCTAATTCAAACGAGGAAATATTAGTCCAATCTGGTGGGAAAGGAAAAATAATTTCTAAGATCCACCCTTATCAGCAGTAGGAACGCAAGGCATATAGCCTACATCTGCAAAACTGAACCATTTAATCGTTTGTCATCTCTTAAGCCGATCTTAGACTGTGCACCTTCAGTCACAAGAAGGGTAGCATTGAAAATCGAGATATTCGTTATTTTCTGTTTTGCCCCCATAAAAACATGGAGGTACTGACAATGTACCTCAGAGAGGACACATTAAACGCATCAGAAAGGACACATTTAGCAAAGTTTAGAATCGGAATACATGTAGGCCTACGACCGCTTCGAGGGGAAGCATGACGATATATAGGAGAAAAAATCGTTTCTGCAATTTGGCTGTACTGAGGATGAATTACATTTTCTGATTCACTGTACATTGTATAAAGATATCGATTTTAATAACAAGCCAGGCAAGCCGGGGGCAAAATGACCCGCGTGTCACAATAATCAATTTTATTCTTACCAGTTTCCCCTTGTATCCTTTGCTACTTAAATGTTCTCATAAAACAAAGATGATTAAAACATGATGTGTTTCAGAAGACACATGAATATAATGCTTAATAATCCCTATGCTTGCTTTATGGTGGTTTGGGCATACGAAACGGAATGTCCTAGAATGTGGAAAGATCACAGAAAGGCGAGGATTGTATTAGTTGTGCCGCGCAATTGTGTCTTATCACTGCTTACACAATGAAAAAAACGTTTCTCATAAAGAAGCTTAACACGCATAGTGAGAAGATATTATTTCAATGCCCAAATTAAGTTGTTTTGCTTTGTTAAGTTAGTCACAGTAAATGTTAAGCACTCTAAATTTTAAACAATTATAAGTAAAATATTTCAATAACGATTATGTGACCTAGGTCATTTCCTCCATGTGTGAAGGAACATCTTCCCAATGCGACTAAAAAGATATATGCGTATCTGGGTAAGTCGTAAAAAAATAATAATAATAAAAATAAAAAAAATAATAAAACGGAATAAATAAATAAATACAATAAAATAAAAAAATAATAATAATAATATTTTTTAAAAATAGCTCATTTCTGTTTTTCAAGTCCTGATAACACCGTCTTGTTATAGTATATGAATTGCATTGAAGGCGCATTGGATTACCGTGGCTTCCTCAACGAACAACTTATCAGTTGAGTCAAATAAAATTGAATTCAGTGAAAGCTTAATCGAGTGTCTCGTCTGTTCACACTACTTCAGCTGTTTTTCGAACCTTTGCGAATTTTAACCCTTTTCTTTTCAAATTGTTGATGCTGTTGATATTATGTATAATAAAATGAGATTGATGTATCTTTAAATACTATAGGTTAGGCAGAGTTGTCTAGAGCACTTGAGAAAGGCCACGGCATGTATTAAATGGGAATTTCTATGAGGTATACAGGGTTTACACAGCTGCTGAAAAACGTATTTAAAAATTGATATTTAATCTTTGAGAAGATTAAGCAACTGTATTTAAACGTTACCTGATGGAAAACACGGTAATAAATTCGCCCTATGATGATACAAGAACGGCGGTGTGAAGTAAAAGGCGTCAAAGAACAACTCGTACATGGTATTCATTAAAGAATTACATGTATTAAACACGATCAATAATTTTTTTAACTCCCAATCTTTATTTATCTATTTATTTATTATTATTATTTGGTACTTTATACAAACCTATGCCAATGTTTCCAAAGACCTATAATCCTAATCTGATCCCTTCGCATACTTGTTAAACATTAAAAGCAACTTTATGTTGGCATTGATACAATATCTTCTCACTCTTCTGTAAATCACATGTAAACCGAAGCAACTCCTCTTTTTTCATATGACCAGTAAAGACATCGTGTTGAAGTTGAATTTTTGCAACATTTTCTCGCTCTCTTCCTTAGTTTTCTTGAGCGCTCGGTAATATTTGGAGCGTTTTTCATACTGTACATAACAACCAAGTCATCTGAGTTTGCTGTTCCACGCAATTCAGGTAGGTGAACGTAAACCTCGTGCAAGAAAACGGATATAGTACTTAGAAGGCCCAACAAAAATTAGTTTCCCGTTTAACAGCTAATAGAGACAGTGTAGTACAACTGAAACGTATTCAACTCCATTCACGTACGAATACCCGTCTTTCTTTACTAAACATTTTGTTCAAACACTAGATGAATTTCCGTTGTTATAGTAACATGATAAACAATAAATGGCAATGGGGTAGTGAGGGTAGGAGAGAGAACAAAAAATGGAGGATCAAAATTGTAAAGCCGTATTCCTCACACACTCACTTACAGCTCATTTAGGTTCGCGGACAAACTGATCCGTCGACTAAATATGGCAGACCCCACTTAAAAGCAATGCCGCTAATTCCCTGAGGATCTCCCCACCTCCACACGTGCAATGAAACGGATTAAATGTCGCCTTTCCGAGGTTTAATTGCTAGGCCCCTGCAGTGATGGCGCGTGTGGAGGCGGGGAGACTATCAGGGTATTGGCAGCATCGATTTTACGTGGGTTCGGCCATATTTAGTCAGCAGATTAGTTAGTCCACGGAGCATCTGTTCTGAATGCGCTCTAAGGTCCCATTCGAAATAGTCCGGGGTCAAATATGGCGACCTACTACAAAGCTTGTCTTCTAATCCGCTAATGGACACTGAATAGGCATCCTGAGGGTATTCAAGTTGGTCGGCCATATTTGACCCTCGGACTAGTTAGTCCCCTATTCTGAATGAGGCTTTAGAGACTTTTTGGTAACCAACTTTGTAGTTATCCAGAATAACTCTCTGATTTCACGAGAGATACCCAGAACAGAAGGGAGACCAATGCTCTGCTTCTTAGCTAGACAAAAGTAACTTCGTCGATCGCTAATTTAACTTTCCAAAATAAATAAGTCAAAAAAGACCAAGTGTGCTCCACCTGTGCCCTGTGAGTTATTTCTCTTCGCCTATGTAAAAAAAACAGCTCTCAAGTAAATGCTTTAGGCGAAACACAACACTAAACTGTTAACGCGCTTGCTATAAACCTGCTGTACATTTAGTTACACACATTTGTCTCTTTTCGCAATGAATGATGCTGAAATTCTATAGAAGGGCCCACACCTAAACCCTTCGTGACCTGTTTGGAAAATTAAAATCAACGTCTTAATTGCTATTTTACACGGGTAAATCCTAGTTTGAACAAAACCATGATGCACTCTCTGAGTTATTTGTTAACCTCAGCCTAAGGTTCATTTTTTATTTCGGTTTCTAAGGTCCTTTTTCCAGATCAGCTGACTTTCACATAAAACGATCAGCGTCCTTACTATTTCCTACCCGCTTTGCACACACTACCATACTTATGCAAGTATATTTTACTGTCAGCATTTTCCCGCCAGAACATACGAATCAGGGAACATGGTCAGGTACTTGACAAATAATACTTGACAAAAGGTCCTATTGAAACTGAAATTTTATCAAAAACTTCTCGCATGTACCCATCTATTTGCAAACGGAATCTTTTAGTCACAGTATTGAACGCTTTCATTCAAATGCCTTTTTTTGTTTCCAATTAATGTATTCCAATTTCTATTACAATTTTAATTGAATCTTAATAAGAAACGATATGTTTTGATTAAAAGACATTACTAAAGCTTCAGACGTTTTAATTATTGTGTGGCTAAAAGGTTTCTAAATATCATTAAAATTAATTACAAACTCCATTACAGAAAAACAAACCGTGCAAAAAGAGCCAATTCTTTTTATTATTCGATTTTCTAAGAGTTCTTTGAAAAAAAAATATTATGGAACGTGGAATCTTCATTATAGTCTCCCTTTCATAAAAACGAGATATGAAACCATCCATTACACAAAAACAAGATAAATCTTTCAAGTAATTGTTACCAGTCTGTATATATGCAATGCATTATGACACGACCGGCAGACCCTAAAGTGAACACGCTCTAATCACCTCAATCAACGAGCTAATGAAGACCAGGTTTTATTTTTCTGTTTATCTTTTTTGCAGGTATCTCTCCGAGAACACTCATTGTTGCTAGTGTGGCGATCCACTTCGCGGTTCCTCTCCTGCGCTAGTTCTTCAACCTATAAAACAACATGAATATTCCCGACGTCGTTAATTCCACAGACTCCTTTCTGATAGGTTCTTCCAACCTCGACGAAAGCTATTTGAATGCTACGCTATTTCAAGATTACGACAATTCGTCTTCTTCATTCATGAATAACTCCTGGAACATTAGCCAGGAACAGGGGAAGGTATACAGCCAACTCAGCTTGGTTTACCAAGTAATTCCTAAAGTACTAGCGATTTTGGGAACTGTAGGAAATGTCCTGACATTCATTGTGTTCCTGTGGAGTAAGAGCTTGAGGAAGACTGCCCTTGCCCAGTTCCTGTTGGCCCTGGCAGTCACGGATACGCTGCTTCTATGGCTACATTTACTGTACACGCTAACAGCGTCGGGGGATCTAGAAATAAGAAGTGCGGTTGCGTGCAAAGTGCTGGTATGGCTGACCGACACTGTCACCTACGTCTCGTCATGGCTCATCGTCACCGTGACATTCAATAGATTCATCGTCATTGTCCTTCCCCTACGAGCCACCAGGTGGTGTCAGAAAAGAAACGCGCGGATTGCTATCTTTGTGATCGTGAGTGTATTTTCATTAGTCAGCATATATAATTTCTGGGCATGGGACGACGTGTTTGTCTCCAAGAAATACTATATGTGTAAAATGACCAGAAAAGAACTCATTAGACCTAGGATAATAATGGTGATTGTACTCTTCAGTCTGTTGCCCTCTCTCACTTTGTTCACTATGAATGGGATTATCATGAAGAACCTCTCCGAGGCTTTGTCCAAGCAGGCAGTTTACCGTGCTAGTTTCAACAAGCAGAAAGTCAAGGGGGTTCAGCGCCAGCTTGACATTTTACTTTTAACCCTCTCCTTTTCATTCCTGATTTTAACTCTACCTCTTACTCTTGTCGACATTGTAATTTTTTCGATGTATGACGATACCAGCGTGCTGCCACGCGATGACATTTTTGTTAGACTGTATATGAGCAGAGAGATTCTGAACATTTTCTCGCTCACAAACAACTGCCTTATTTTTCCGTTGTACTGTGTTTCTGGAAGAAAGTTCCGAGGAGAGTTGAAAAGCGTTTTCTGCCGCATCAAACTAAGGCTGGAGCAGAATGTAGAAAGAGATCCGCCCCCTGATGCTCTCTGAACTGAGAGATTCATGGCTGAGGCGTTCTAGAACATAGACTCTATGTAACATTCTGTTTCATTTAACGATTACTTGTAGAACAGAGCGCAAAACGATATTGTACGCTAATGCTTTTGTACTCATACAGAAAAAAAGGCATCCACACGTATTTTAAGATGTGTAGGTATTCAAAGTTGCATCGGTATTGTCATTCGTCACCAAGAAATCAGCAGACTCAGGGAATAGAGTGCACCTTCTGTGAATTGAAGTTCAGTTTCATTCTGTTATTTGTATGATGGCGTGGATGTGTTCTAGTAAGTAGAATGGGGTACAGAATCATCATCATTTATCAATACTACCGATACCTGTGTTCCTGAATTTTCAATATAAGAAATTTAGCTGCTTCATTAGCCAAACGTTAATATAATCCCTCTAAAGAGTATTATCGGGGAATATTCTTCTCGACATTTATATCAAGACAAGATAAATCAATAACCAAAAACTCATCTACATTTTTGAATTCAATCCTTGTCTTCCCCAACAAAGTTGTGACGTCTTCTGCGGCACAGCTGTGACACGTTTATTTCTAGCCTTCTGACGTTCTTTTGAAACATTGCTGATAAGACCCGCACACTCGGTGAGTGCCGTATGTTTATCAGCATCTGAAAAGGGTACACTGAAACTGTTTCCGACTTAATGGTGCTATTCGATTCTCATAAAAATCCAGTATTTTGTTATGAAGATCCAATTCTATGCTTCTGACAAAACAGATTGTCTGATTATAATGATGTTTCAAAACATGACCCATGTATTACCTTTTATCAAAGCTTGGGCACTTGAGCAGAAGCGCTCACATACATATAGCAATTTATATCACTAATTGAGCTTCCTTGTCAACTCTTATTTTCAACAAGATCTCTATGAAACACGATATTCTGACAAAACAGATCATCTGGTTATCGTGCAGTTACAAAACATGTCCCCATAATTAGCTCCTCATTTAAGCTTGCGGAAGCGCACACATATAGGCCTACATGTAGCTTTTTTCATATCAGTTAAATTCTGAGTTTCCTTGTCAACTGTTATTTTCAGCAAGATATCTAGCTTCGAAACAGGGAATACACTTGCATCGCGATTTGATATGGCCCCTCTGTCACAGCCAGGCGAACCAATTGTTAAGTCTGTGCGAATATACTGTTAACAAGATGTTGAACTCCTTGAAACCATGAAAAAACAAAGATATTACAATGCTTCTTTGTTGTAGTATCATTGGTGTCGATTTGCATTACCTGTGACTGAAGAACCAGATATAGTTACGATGAGGCGATGTACAGCAAAGTGACATACATCAATAGAAAGTACAGTATATGGGCGAGACGAACGGGTTATATTTTTTGGCATTACTTAAAAACTTTTATTATAGTTTTTCATTCATAATATATGGAATGACTTCACCCATTGTGCCACTCTGTTTAGGCGCAATTGAACCTTGTAAAAATTGGTATCCACAGGTTGAATGCTACGCAAACCAACGTTGCGCCTATCAGTCAAACTGCTCAGCAGACCATGTCAAATTTTGCTTTTTGTAATATCTTGACTACTAATTATACTAAAATCATACTGTTTTCGCATTAGCTGGTGGTTGTAAAAGACTAAACAGCATAGAGTTCAGCTAAAGAAATTTCCGTTTGGTGCGTTCTTTCAATGAAATTGGCTTCCATGTCTACATTCAATTAACTACAGTATCGATCTTAGCACTAGAAAAACCCGAAGCTCTTTACCTAATCTGTAAATGATATTCCTAATTTTAATGACGGTCCCACAAATTAAAGAAAAGAAATGAAAAGAGGATCAAATCATGCATTTAATCATTTAATGTGTACCATCTAAGGTCAGATTTATACGAGCAAATATACTGACATAGGCGGAAATGTAAAAAATAATGACCTAAAGATTATTTTATCGATTTCGCACTTAGGCGTTTGTAATTTCGTTAAAAGACATCGTCGCCAAACCAATGTCGCCTGTCTTGCTGAACAGGAGTGCCCGCCTCTGGGTCCAATTACACAAAAGTAATCAAGTCGAAAAGTACTCTTATATTTAAGAAAGAAAATGTCGTTTAACTTTGATCCAGGATAAACTTTCATTAGAGCATGGGCAAAATTAGTTATTATGTCCAAGATTAGGGTTATGGGCGTATACCCTAAAATATATAATTATATGACCTAATTCAAGTTTTTTTCTTTTATCTTTTATTTATCAATCTGTCACATTTAGCACATACAAATGGTTATATTATAATCATATATATTTATGTGCATCATGTTAAACAACTGTACACGTGTGTTAATGCATGCAGGTGCATGTCAAACTGAATTAAAGGATTTGCGCCATACCGTCAGAATGGCCTGAAAGGAACATATTCTTCAGAAAACATGCCCAACTAACGATATCTTTATCCAAGTACACAAATTAAAAGCTCATTTTTTAAATTTTTGGCTTTAAAAAACGTCCTATTTATAAAGCAGTTGCAGGGTGTAGTTGCCGCTTGGACATTACCTTTATAGTTTTGTAGTCTGACCTTGACCTTTCATTGAGTGAAGTTTGTCGGGCCAATGACAAACGCTCATACTATATATTGTGCAATTACACATTTTGGTTGAGTTGGATGTGTTGTTTTGCAAACCCCAGAAAAGTAATATTGAATGGATTATCGGATGTCTATCATTAAAAGACGGTTGTCTCATTTAGATTTAGATTAAGAAGTATACATTATCTTATCTACCAAAGATGCTTGCATAAATCTTAATGTATACTTTGCCATCTTATAAGCGGTTTGAGATTAGATTCTTATAGGCAAAATTGCAGAACATTTAGATGAATGGTCTTACATTTAAAGCTACGGAAACGTCACCGGTAGCTGCCTTTTGTAGATATGCGTTAGGTGTCGCGCCGACAAGCATGGTAACTAAGGGATACAAATGAGAAATGTAGTCGCTGTCGTTGCATTGTTCATGTAGGTTCAGTCTCATAAGCAAGTAACATGGAGATATGAATGAAAATACTGAGGCTGCTTTAGAAACAATTCACATATCGACAAAGGAAACGGTTCGTTGGCACGAGAGTGGCAATACCCAAAGCACCAACGCCAATGTCGTCACAGCCACTTTTGCAGATGAGAATTTTCTTAGACCCCATTCCTAGAGATTGGATCGATCAAACTAGATCGACCTAACTCCCTGGGGGTTCACGCTGAATAGCTGTCAGCCAAGCGCGCACGAAAGTTAATTACCCCCTAACAGCTTGTAGTAGGCGGAACGGACATTTAAGCCGGATTATCTGACAGTAATCTAATAAGACTCCCCACGGGGATAGATCGATCTAAAATCTATGGGAATGCGCCCTTAGAGAAATGTATTCTGTCACTGTCTTTTTCTGCCTTCTGCTTTCATATCATCATCCAGCACAATCAACCCTTTCCGTGCATTATTTGCCGTGCAGCACATTTTTATTAGTGCTTTACCCATAGGGTACACTTAGACGCGCTTTGATTACTGCTCTTGGGAGCACGTGGGTTCGGTTAATAACAAGAAATAATCGATTACATAATGAGCTTGCTGACTGGGATACGTACATAAAGCTTGTTTGTGCTCTCTCTCTCTCTCTCTGCCTGTCTGTCTGAAAAATGTTTCAAGTCTACTTCCCAATATAGTCTTTTTTTGAAATTTTGCAAATGTTTAAAATGTTTTGACTTTTTTCAAAAAATTAGATTGTACCATAAAACGCGTTTAGAAATTGCCTAAAAATTGTTTTCAGCCCAAGCGGCTTAGACGGCTGGGACGCCCGCTGAAGCTGCTAAACGATAGTTAATTACCCCTATCATCGTCAGCAGACGTGACAGACATCTAAGCCGCCCAAGTAATTGCAATTAAGCGAGAACCCCCTCGGAGATAGTTTGATCCAAAGTAAGTACGATAGGGACCATTCCCACAGATATTTTGATCGATCTATCTCCCTGGGGAGTCTCACTAAATTGCTGTCAACTTGACGGCTTAAATGTCTGTCACGCTTAGTTAAGTTGTAAGGGGGTAATTACCTTTACCCCCTAGCTGATTCGGTAGGCGTCACAGACATTTAAGCCGGTTAGCTGATAGTAATTTAGTGAGACTCTCCAGGGAATTAGATCGATCCAAATGGATCGATCTAGGCATGGGAACCCAGTGATAGTCTCTGGGAATGGTCTCAAAGATGTTATCGTCCCTACTGTAAAAAAAAGATACATCACTCTATGTCTCTTGATAACAGTAATGAGACAGAATGAGTAAAATAGGCAACTTTCAAATAAACGTTACGTGAGTTTTTTTTAAAGTTGCTTGCAGCTTGTTAAGCAAATGAAACCTCTCAGATCGTGAAAGGGCGCGGGGGTCTACGCAACTATTACCTTGTCAGCACCGTGTATTTTAACTGTAACTCAATGCGATATTTGCCTATCTGTAAATATATATATATGTAGCGTGTATACGCCGACACACATATGGGAAGTGTCAAAATGTATATCCCTCGAAAAGATTCATTCATGCCAACCAACAGGTCCGTTACTGAAAAAAGAAAAATGTCAAACAGGATAAAAGAGCAGAAACCTCTCAACCTCCCACACGTATGTGTTGTTACTGCACCATATTCCGGCTCTGTTCTGTATCAGCCAAATATACCCTGAATCTCTTGGAAACAGGCCTCGAGGACCAAATAGTTATCTTTCCAATGTCACCCAATAAGAAAAGACAGAGGGGTTTCCGATAGGTAATAAATATCAGGGTATCTGGATTTACCTCCAGTTCAGTGCAGTTGTATTTACTCAGCCTGATGGAAATATTAGCTGTCTTAATAATCATGATGTTATGTGGTGAAAAAGTATCCTCATGATTGATGAGACAAGAAGAGGAATGGAGACAGAACCAGAAATTGAGTAATCATGTTTGCTGTTGATGTAAAATTTCGGCCAGAAAACTAAACTAGGAGCAAAATTTACAATAAGGGGGAGAAAAAATCACTCCGACAAGATCTTGTGTATATTTCGTGTCAAAAGAAATACCACCAAGAGTTTTCAAGAGTTTCAAATGTTTACTGTTACAGCAACTCAGGTGTGCTAATAATAAAGGTTAGTTTCCAGCAAACTAAAACTCAGGGTGCCAAATATCAATATGATTAGGACATTTTCGCTTCATAGTACCCAGGAACGAACTGGTATTTGTGGCCTTAAAAGGCACGGCCTACTGTATTGGTGAAACAGAATTAGGCCTAA